CATGGAATGTCATGACAGTATATGGCTAAAGGCTACCAAGTAAATAGATAAATAAGTAAATGTGATGTAATTTGTCAAAGTGTGCTGTTTACCTTCCTTCTACATGACAAATAAACAAGTTACTGAAAGCCCGAGTCATTGAGATGACATAGTCCCTGTTATTGACATTATATACTATGAAGGCACTGAGAAAGTTTAAAAGCTTAAAGTACTTTTGGGTTTAATGCAATAACAATAACTTCAAAAAATAACAAAATAAATAAATAAAAGTATATTTATAATATACAGCAATATTTTGTATTTTGTAAAAAATTGAATCAAACCACATATATACCTGCGCTGTCAGTCGTCTTGTCATATGTACTGGATCAGCACTTATAGTTTGTTGACCTCCAACAAAATGATACAATACTAGCGTACTTGCATGTTTGTTGTTCAGCGTACTAATCCACTTGGCTAGCAATAATGATTTACCAGAACCAGGACTCCCACTAATTAGTAATGGTGGTAGTGGTCCAGCAGCTGATACATAGTCATTCAGCTGACCATAATGCTGGAAATCAAACAAAATCAAAGACATCTTAGAAAGAACTCCCATGTGCTGAGAGTATTGAAGACACATTAATTCAAAATTACTTGTACTTGAGATATTGATGAAATAGCTGAAAACTAATTATGTAAATCAGGTAACTGATATGAACAGATTTGAATGTAAAACTAATAAGGCCTGCGTAATGTAATATCTATGTACCAAGTTTCATTGAAATATTATTAGAACAAAAAACTATGAATTATTATTAAAGAATTAATATGAACAAATTTCAACAAACAAACAAGCCCAGGGCTCATCACATGGCACTAAACACTCCAACACATAACACTACACACTCCATCTCATGGCACTAAACACTCCATCACATGGCACTACACACTCCAACACATAACACTAAACACTTCATCTCATGGCACTAAACACTCCAACACATAACACTAAACACTCCATCTCATGGCACTAATCCAACACATAACACTAAACACTTCATCTCATGGCACTAAACACTCCATCACATGGCACTACACACTCCAACACATAACACTAAACACTTCATCTCATGGCACTAAACACTCCAACACATAACACTAAACACTTCATCTCATGGCACTAAACACTCCATCACATGGCACTACACACTCCAACACATAACACTAAACACTTCATCTCATGGCACTAAACACTCCAACACATAACACTAAACACTTCATCTCATGGCACTAAACACTCCATCACATGGCACTACACACTACAACACATAACACTAAACACTCCATCTCATGGCACTAAACACTCCATCTCATGGCACTAAACACTCCATCACATGGCACTACACACTCCAACACATAACACTGAACACTCCATCTCATTGCACTAAACACTCCATCTCATGGCACCAAGCACTCAACCACATAACACTGAACACTCCATCTCATGGCACTAAACACTACAACACATAACACTAAACACTCCATCTCATGGCACTAAACACTCCATCACATGGCACTGCACACTCCAACACATAACACTAAACACTTCACCGCATGGCACTAAACACTCCAACACATAACACTAAACACTCCATCTCATGGCACTAAACACTCCATCACATGGCACTACACACTTCAACACATAACACTAAACACTTCATCTCATGGCACTAAACACTCCAACACATAGCACTAAACACTCCATCTCATGGCATTAAACACTCCATCACATGGCACTACACACTCTGACACATAACACTAAAACACTCAATCTCATGGCACTAAACACTTCACCACATAACACTACACACTCCATCTCATGGCACTAAACACTCCATCACATGGCACTACACACTCCAACACATAACACTAACACTTCATCTCATGGCACTAAACACTCCATCACATGGCACTACACACTCCAACACATAACACTAAACACTTCATCTCATGGCACTAAACATTCCATCACATGGCACTACACACTCCAACACATAACACTAAACACTTCATCTCATGGCACTAAACACTCCATCACATGGCACTACACACTCCAACACATAACACTAAACACTTCATCTCATGGCACTAAACACTCCATCTCATGGCACTAAACACTCCAACACATAACACTAAACACTCCATCTCATTGCACTAAACACTCCATCTCATGGCACCAAACACTCAACCACATAACACATAACACTGAACACTCCATCTCATGGAACTAAACACTCCAACACATAACACTAAACACTTCATCTCATGGCACTAAACACTCCAACACATAACACTAAACACTCCATCTCATGGCACTAAACACTCCATCACATGGCACTACACACTTCAACACATAACACTAAACACTTCATCTCATGGCACTAAACACTCCATCTCATGGCACTAAACACTCCAACACATAACACTAAACACTCCATCTCATTGCACTAAACACTCCATCTCATGGCACCAAACACTCAACCACATAACACATAACACTAAACACTCCATCTCATGGCACTAAACACTCCACCACATAACACTAAACACTCCATCTCATGGCACTAAACACTCCATCTCATGGCACAAAACACTCCACCACATGGCACTAAACACTTCATCACATGGCACTAAACACTCCATCATATGGCACTAAACACTCCAT